CCTCCTCCTCCTCCTCCTCCTCCTCCCCCCCTCCCTGCACCCCGGTGGCTGGGTGGCACTAGGGCCCTTCCGGCTCCCTGGCGGGGCGGGGGCGGGGCCCCAATGGCGGGCCGTGCTGCGCTGGGGGGGGGGCTGGGGGCGCTGCCGCACCGTCCAGCCCGGGTTCCTCTGGAGGGTGCCCAGCTCTGGGTCGGGCGTGTCCTCCCACAGCTCCTGCAGGGGGACGTTGGACTAAAAGTAAGAGGTGCCCCAAAAGTGCCCCAAAGTACTCAAGACGTGATCAGAGAGTGGTCCCCGGACCATTCCTTGACTACCTTTGAATATTCCCCCCGTAGAGGGACGGGCCCGACTTGAGCCTAACTGGATTGGAAAGGACGGCGACGCCCGTACTGCCTCCCGTGTGGTCCAACTCTGGCTTAGCATGCGTGGTTCGTGGCCCAGCGCCTGAGGTGGGGTCCTGGCGGGCCTTCGCCTCATGAGGCGCCGTCGCACTGTACATCGTGGGACGAAGACGTGCGCTGTCATCGTCCGCGTCGTTTGATCATCACTGTCGTGACTTCCTAGTGGTGTGAGGGTGCATGTCGGATCTGACGTGTGGCCCCAACTGTGACGATGCACTGAGGTAGTAGTGTATCGGCGTCATCGTTGAGGGCCCCGCCGAAATGGAGTGGGCCTTATTATTATGATTAGTGTCATTATTAGTATTTTTCTTATCCTTCGAAGCTGTCGTCATAGTACTGGAGAGGAGAGGGGAGAGGAAGGAGAGAGGAAGGGGAGAGCAGGGGAGAGGAAGGGAGAGGAACGGGAGAGGGAGGAGAGGAGGAGGAGAGAGGAGGAAGGGAAAGGTCAGAGGAGGGGCGGAGGAGGAGGTGCACGTCTGTATGGATGTGGAGAGAGGGCGAAGGAGGAGGAGTCCTGCGACGTCATGACGAACAGGTCGCCCCTGAAGTCGTCCTCGGAAAAGCGGCGCGGGCGACCCAGACCCCCGACGTAATGACTTTTTCATTACGTCGACCCCCAGAGGTCCCGACCCTTTCCCCATGACCGGCTTTGCATCCTGAGTCGTTGTTTGACGCCCCCGAGGCCCGGCGAGGGCCCCCGGAGGCCGAGAATTAGGAGAAACCTCCCGTCGTGATTTTCTCATTACTCGAGGGGGTCTGGGGAAGGAGAGGGCCGGCCAGGCGGGGGGGAGGCAGGGACCCGTGGGGCAGGGAGGGGAGGAGCGGAGGGGGAGCAAGGCCGGAGCCGGGCGAGGGGCCGAGGGGAACGGAAGGGAGGGGGAGAGCGTCGGGGCAGCGCAGGGGAGGAGGAGGAGGAGGAGGAGGAGGAGGGGGAGAGGGAGAGGAGGAGGAGGAGGTAGGAGGAGGAGGAGGGAGGAGGAGGAGGTGGGAGGGGAGAGAATGAATAGGAGGAGGAGGAGGAGGACGACGAGGGAGAGGAGGAGGAGAAAGAGGACGAGGAGGAGGAGGACGAGGACGAGGGAGAGGAGGAGGAGGAGGAGGAGGAGGAGGAGGAGGAGGAGGAGGAGGAGGGGGAGGAGGAGGAGGGGGAGGCGTCCGCGGAGTCCTCATTCACGACCTTCCACTGCTTCAGGCCATGGCCGAATGGGGATGCGCAGCCCCTCAGGGAGAACAAGAGGGTGGGCTTCTTGTACTTGTCGATGGTGTCGTCGCGGACGGTCAGCTCCCACTGTCCTAAATCTCCACTACCGCTAAACTCTTCCTTCCAAAATATTCTTATATCTTGTGCATTCTGATTACCGCCTCGCCGCGGCGGCGGTGAATATCTGAAGTACTGCGGGCGACCATTTCTCTCCCCACTCTGAGAGTCTTGCTTGTACATGCCATTCACGTCGATAATTTTTTCCTCACCATTAACGTCGGTCGCTTTAAGGTCGACTCCTGAGTAGACTACGAAGAGCCGTGAATGCTCATGTGACTCGTCTTTTGTGTCATCAACTTGATCGCAAACCTTCGGAGTGCACACCCAAATGTAATTGTTCTCGATCCACCACTTCTGGCCAGGCTCGGCATAGGCGGGCTTCCCAGGCGTGTTACGAAGAATGACGAAAAGCTTCAACAGAATCAGCAAGCCAGCAACGGCTACTGCAAGCACGATCGGGACGACCTCCCACGCTCCGATTGCAATGCACAAAATGAGCAGCCCTGCGAACAGAGCTACAGAAGCCGCAGCTGCACGTTGTATCACTACAGTGGCCGCGATGTCGAACCAGTACGAGAACCTCTTCAACAAGGCGCGGCGATGCGACAGAGTCCTCAAGCAGATGCTAAGCTTCGCTGTGACCAGGCTGCCATTCACTCTGTCTTTCTCTTCTTTATAGCAGTCACCACAGATGTTGATGAATATGTTCATCATGATTATGTTGACAAAAACGAAGGTCATCGCACCAACAACGTGACAGTACATGAATCTGAGTCCAACGAATTCGCTCGGGAAGAAAGTTGACTCTCCGAGCTCTACCCAGACGGACAAAAAAGATTCCACCAACAACTGCCACAGAGTCACTGCCTCGCCATCAGCTTCCTCGCCGTGGAATTCTATAACGCTCCAGAGCATAAACGATATCCAGGACAGGAAGATGATCGACAACATAGTCTTCATAGCCGTCATGGAGAAGGCATTGAGAATGGGCAGCAGCTGCTCCCCGAGGCCATGGAACCTAGACAAGTCCATCATCAGGAACCAGTAGCTGATGTAGAGCACCAGCGCCATGGGGTTCCGATACTGATCCATGGGGGCGTCCTCTTGGGGGGCGGAAAGATACGGATACGTGTTGTCCCCGGACCTCTCTTGGGGTGCGTTCTGACCAGAATTTCGAGGCGAATCCAGCGGTGACAACGAGGATTCCCCAGGAGGACCAGGAAAGGCCGAAAACGAAGGGGGACAACACGTATCCGTATCTTTTTCTCCCCCGATCCTCCCAGGCGTTCCAGCTGGTGATCGACAGGGCGAGGTTCAGCAGGATGCGGGCCACCTGCTTGAAGGAGCTGTTCACGTGCCCCACGGAGTCCAGCGAGGAAGAGGCCGTCCTGACCTTCAGATCGCCGAGGTTCTCGACGAGGTATGGGATGTCAAAAGCTATGCTCACGAGGACTGCCCCCGTGAAGATGCTCCAACAGCACACGACAACGGCATACTGCAAGCCTGCCCCGATCCGCCACCGTGCCATGCGCACTGAATGGAGTGCCCTCGAGTGCCTTCGAATTCCCTGCGTTGGGTCCTGCACATATTCTCTTGCTCTCTAAGGGCCTCAAGCCCGGGATTCCCCGTCGTTCCTGGAGATGTCCACGCGAATTCTTCCGAAAGAAAAGCAATGGAAGGCGACTGGTTGCTAGAATTTCGACCCAAAGGTGGGAACACGAACTGGCCCCACGAGCCCTCTTGTGCCGAGATCGCTCCCGAGACCATCAAGGGGCCCCCAAGAGGCCCCAGAGACGCCCAAGAGTCCACAAGAGGCCCCTAAGAGGCCCTCAAGAGAACCACAAGGGGGAGGAGGAGGATGATGATAAGGAGGAGGAGGAGGAGGAGGAGGAGGAGGAGGAGGAGGAGGAGGAAGCGGAGGAGGAGGAGGAGGAAGCGGATGGGGGGGGGGTGAGGGCGAGGGGTGAGGGGGAGGAGGGGAGGGGTGAGCGGTGCAGGGGGGCGGGAGGGGGAGGGGGAGGAGGAGGAGGAGGAGGAGGAGGAGGCGGAGAGGAGGAGGAGGAGGAGGAGGGAGGAGGTGGAGGGAGAGAGGAGGAGGATGGGGGGAGGAAGAGGTGGAGGTAGGAGGAGGAGGAGCAAGTGGAGAAGAGGGACGACGAGGAGGAGGAGGAGGATGGAGGTCGAGGAGGTGGCTGGAGGAGCTGGAGGAGCCAGAAGAGGAGGATGAGGAGAGTGAGGAGGAGGAGGAGGAGGACGAGGAGGAGGGAGGAGTAGGAGGAGGAGGAGGAGGAGGAAAAGGGGGAGAGGAGGAGGAGGAGAGGAGGAGAGAGGAGGAGGAGGAGGAGCTGGAGGAGCTGGATGAGGAGGAGGAGGAGGAGCCCCCAGAGGGGTGCCTCGGTGTCTGGCGGTGCACCGGGCCCTGGGGGAACTGCATTCCGCCCCTTCCCCTGGATGAGCAGGTCTCCTGACGAGCAACCCGGCCTTCCCTTGTCCTGGATGAGCAGGTCTCCTGACGAGCAACCCGGCCTCGCCTGGGAATCTTGTCCGGGGGACCGGCTGTGCCGTGCCTCTCTTCTTGCCCTCCCTGGTTGCGCAGGTCTCCCGTGGGCCCCCCTCAGCCTCCCCGGCTGGGGCCTCTGGGAGTCGTGACCGGGGAGGGTTTGAGCGGCCCGCATGTTGGCGGGTCGCGGGTTGTTTGGGGCGCACGGCATCGACGCGCGTTTCCGCTGTGCGACAAGAGCGAAAAGAGGAGGAGGAGGACGAGGAGGAGGAGGAAGAGGAGAAGGAGGAGGAGGAGGAGGAGGAGGAGGGGTAGGAGGGGGAGGGAGTAGGTGGAGGAGGGAGGAGGAGGAGGAGGAGGAGGTGGAGGAGGAAGAGCTAGAGGAGGAGGGGGGAGGAAGTGGGGGAGGATGAGGAGGAGGAGAGGAGGGGGGAGGAGGAAGGAGGGGAGGAGGAGGAGGAGGATGAGGCAGCAGGATAGGGCTGGAGGGAAAGGAGAAGGAGGAGGAGAGGAAGAGGAGGAGGGGGAGGGAGAGGAGGAGGAGAGGAGGAGGAGGAATTAGGAGGAAGACGAGGAGGAGGAGGTGGAGGGGGAGGCTTTGAGGGGAGCAGGAGGAGAAGAGAAGAGAAGAGGAGAGTTAGAGCAACGAGAAGAGAAGAGTAGAGTAAGAGAGATGAAGTGAAGTGAAGGAGAAGGGAAAGAGATGAGATGAGAAGTGAAGGAGAGTGAAGAGAGAGAATAGAGATGAAGAGAATGTGAAGACAAGACAAGACAAGAGAAGAGAAGAGAAGAGAAGAGAAGAGAAGAGAAGAGAAGAGAAGAGAAGAGAAGAGAGGAGGAGGGAGAGGAGGAGGAGGAGGAGGAGGAGAAAGAGGAGGAGGAGGAGGAGGAGGAGCGGGCTTTTCAGCACTTGAGCCACAGTATGTTTACGATCAGTGGCTATAAAAAGATAGCAGCGTAAAGGATAGCTTGCGTCCAGCGGTGGCGACTAAAGATTCCTCTAAAAGCCTCTGAAGTTTTACAATCCTAATGGGATCCTGCCTATAATCTCACTCGGAATCTGTGCTTCTAGGATATGTAACAAACGCAAGAGTGGTAATACAACTTGTATCATTAATTCATTCTCCAAACAAACATACCCTACTATGCCCCGACTGTGATACAGCAAGGGCATCGCATCAAGCCTCATTCACATAGTCCTGCGTGTAGTACATATTCCTTATGCATGGTAATGCTGTCCTGAAAGTAATAGCTGTACATGTTACTGATATTCACGGTCTTCGTACTAGTATCTTCATGCTCCTGAATACGTTCCAGGTCACGCTCCTTGAAGTGCTTCCGTATACGTAGTTCTCGAACACCTGACTGGAGTATGAGTTTCATCCTTCTTCTGTTTCATCAAACCTTGTGCGAATAACTCCCATAGTAAGATAATCATGCATCTGTGGGAACAATCCGTGCTTCGTCAATGCGTCCATTATCATCACTTCCGTCGGCCAATGATAGAAGCGTCTCAATCTCCCTGCCAGTCGATCCTCTCTCAAACTTAGGATACTAAATCTCTGCGTCTTGTCGACCGGGGTGCCTTTCATTCCCGTCACGAGCTGATACAGGTCGTAACAATCTGTCGCAATGTCCACTGGGAGTATCGTCTTGGCCTCGTCCTGGTACTGCATCAGCAGATTGAGTGCTCCTTCCAGTCCTCGATCCAGCTGGGGACGCATCAATATCTCTGTAAAGCGTAATGCCGTGAACTGTGCCATCTGTGATCCTCCGACTGCCGCAACTGTCTCTGCGTGGCTAGTCGAGTACGATACTCTCTTCGCTTTCCTGCTCTGTCCAATGAGTGGGTGTGCTGCTCCGAAAACGTGGCCATAGCATGATATGTTGACTTCTCCTCGTGAGTTCTTCTCGATGAACCTATCCTCCACGAGAAAGAGTCCTTGAGCTTCATGAGCATATGAGAAACTTTTCGTAGCGCGTGCTGCATCATTGATGCTCACCAGTCTGAATGGTCCAGATAGTTTCCTGAAATACAGCCCCGCCCGAGAGCGGTGCTTCTTGGCTCTGTCTAGGATAGATTTTAGTGGTTTGTAGTCTCCTATCGTCGGTGCTGTCTGCCTCGATTGCATTTGTGTCACTCCGCAACTGATGCCCCATCTGGTCTGCAATAAATGCAGTAGCTGACCACACAATGAACGGTACTGGTGATGTTCTGCGGAATTGCATGGTGAATCCTCCTGCTTCAATCTCTCCTTGTTGAAGATTGCTGCCTCGATGGGGTCTCGATAGGCTTCCTGACTCAAGAATTTGGCCCCGTCTGCCAATCGATGACATTCGATGCCCAAGTGTGTGAAGGGCATCACTTTCCGGGTGAGTTTGCCGAACTTCTTCTCACATGAAGCATGTGCCCAGTCCAGCTACAGTCTCCGCCCCGTTGGAAATAGATCGTCTACATGTACCGTTGTGGCCAGCTGCAGTTGCTCCGTCGAATGGTCACGCCATACAAAAAAGCTCTCATCAAGTAATGCTCGCTTGCCCGCCACGCGGCCCTTGATGTATAACGTCAGCGCTGCCTGCCGGAGAAGAGGTGCGTCGATGAGTCCAGGTACTGGCTTCACGCATTCGAATCCATAAACACGTTCGTGATCCAATGGTATCTCTGCAAAGTCCGACGATAGCTTCCGTAAGTGCCGCCATACATTGGCAAGTGGTGCGATGTAGACCTCCCGTTCCTCGCGCACGTCAAGTCCAAGTTCTCGAGAGCGCTCTGATAACTCGCTGAACTGTAATCCTTGAAGGAAGGCTGATGAAATATCCCAGCTCTCGATCTCGAAGTCGGGCTCACATTGACAGATTGATACCATCATCCGCTGTGATACTCTTGCTGCCGTTGAAGAATGTCTGTCAACTGCCCACTTCTGGTTGCCCAGAAAACCTCGACCACAAAGTCGAGAACGAATGGCCCATTTCTCCTTCCACATCCAGCGTCGAACCCATGTCGCGTCAATGAAGTTCTCGTTGTTGCAGGATGCCTTCAGCTTCGATTTGAAACACTTGTGCTGCACGTAGTTCTCGAGCTCCTTGAAATCCACTGCCTCTAGTTGTGGCCAAAGATTCTCAAAATCCGATTATTGAATCAATTGTTCATTCTGGGAAGCATATACTCCAATCATCTCGTGATCCAAGAAATCCAAGTAAAAGCATCTCGGAGGTTCATCTCTGGATATGCCTTGGATAACGCAACAACTGCTTGACGATGTCCACGGTGTAACTGCTGTCATGTGGTATGTACTGATATTGTCATTCTGCACTTTGTCCGGGAAAGAGCTACCCATGTATAACTTGCGCAGTTCTGCTCCCGCTTGAATCGTCGATCTGCCTGCTGCTCTGCTAAGGTACAAGGTGTACAGCTCCTCTGCGTCTTATAGTGGCACGGGTTCTTCCTGAGCTTCATCGTCTTCGAGAATGTCCTCCAGGGCTCTGGAGACTCCGTCACTACCAACCTGAGTCTGATCCAATGCGGGAGCTGCTGCTTCACCGTCTGGTAATGGCGTTGGTGGTTCCTCTCGAGCAAGTGGTGCTTCGGGAGGTGGTCCATGACGATGATGTTTCCGTTCGTGCTTCAGGTCGATAACGCTATCATCCATTCGTGCGTCATGTCGATCTCTCCATTCGTGCGTCATGTCGATCTCGCCTGATCGCTTCTGATGCCGTTGGTCCAACTTGCTCAATCGATATTGATGGTCTCATTGTTTCACGACGTGGTGAATGTGATCTTGATCTCACTCCGGCGGATGCACTTGCTGTTGATCGCCCCGTCGCTTGTTCAGGAAGTTCGTCTTGAATCGGTTCCAGGTTCTCTGGTGTGATGAGCTGACTCAGTTATCTCGCCATCTCCTCGTCTCCAATGATCTCGCACAGAGCTTGCTCCATGTCATGTCTGGTCCTTGATATATCTTTATGTTCTGCTGATGTGAAGTCTCCCAGCACGGTTGATGTC